CCGGGACCCCACTTCTCCCTCAGAAAAGAAGTTCCACCCCCCACCTCAGCAAAAGGCAAAGAGCAGGTCATAAAAATGCCCCCATGTCCCCCCTGGAGGGGGGACAACGCGCCTGCGTGATGGCCTCAAGAAGAGACCTCAGACTGGACCCTCCTCCCACAGCGGGTCCCGGGCGGTGGTCCCGGTGGCTTGTAGCAGGCGGTGTGCTCTGGGGGGGCTCCGACCGCCCTTCCCGTAAACCCAACGCTTCAGCACATGTTGGACCTCCCTGCTCTGGTTTCCATATGCCTCCCTCATCCCCCAACACACACACCAGCCGGTCACCAGCCGATCCCCGCCCGCGCCTGGCCTGGTCCCCTCGCGTGGGGTAAAGATGCCTGGTAGCCCGCCCTGGCAGGTGGCTCAATGGTTAGAACGTCAGCCCATGAACAGAAGGGTCTCGGGTTCAATTCCTGGTCAAGGGCATGTACCTGGGATGCAGGTTCAATCCCTGGCCCTGGTCAGGGCAGTGCGGGAGGCAACCAATCAATGTGCCTCTCTCACATCAATGTGTTTTTTTTTTCTCTCTCTCTCTCTCTCTAAAAATCAATGGGAAAGAATTTCCTCAGGTGCGGATTAACAAAAAAACGATGCCTGGTAGCTCATCCCCAAGGGCAGAGGCTGGTAGCTCATCCCCGAGGTCGGGCTGCCCCGAGGGGCTGTGGGGTTGGGAGGCGGGGGGCAGAGTTTGGTCAGTCCTCAGGCTGGGAAATTTCTGGGATATCCACAGAGGTCCCACCTCTCTGCCCCCCGCCCAGCAGGATGACTCCAGACGAAAGGCTAAGACGAGTTGTCAAACTGTCTTCTGTATTTATTGGTTTTCTGCCAAGAAGAGTTCTGGGATCAAAAAAGATTATTTTAAACGAAGTTAAACAAGGTCCCCTCCTGCAGGACTTACTACGGCAACGGGCACCGTGAGTCACCGCGCAACGTGGTCCGCACGCGGCATCCCTCGAACCCCATCAGACCACGGAGTTTTATTTCTCAGAAACATGCCCTGGGATCTGTGTTCTGAGGAACCCACTTTGAGAAACGCTCCTCTTTGCCGGGAGCGATGAGTTTGGGGGAACCACTCTGCCTTCTCTCTCCCGGGGCCCACAATGACACGGCGGCAGCGCCTCTGCGAGCACAAAATGACAAGCGATAATAAGGGCCCACACTCGGCGGCTGTCCCAGCTTCCCTTTTCGAGAAAAAGGACCAGGAACAGGAAAGCACCCTCTCCCAGAAAAGTCAGGGGGGAACCCTGCCTCTCAGATGCTCGACAGGAAAGCCAGTGCTCCTCCCGATGAACAAAAACATTAATGAAACGTTTAAAACTGCTTTGTGGGGTCCATCCAGCCTGTCCACTGGACTCAGCCGGGGGCCGCTCTCCTGTTTTCTGTTCTGTTGGGAGGATACACAGCTCGCATTTTAGGGGTCGGCTTGGCCTTCTCTGTTCCCTTCCTTCAACCCCCCCGGGGGCACTGCCTTCTCTGCCTTAAAGGCGGCTACAAGGTGGCCACTCAGACTCAGTGCCCACTGACCCAGCACCAGGCCCCCTGCCCCCGGCTCAGGACGGCTTCCCTCCCCTCCCCCGCCAATGACCGGAACCCCTAACATCTCCTGGGCTGGCAGACTGGCTGTTGTGTTCGCAGAGCCGGAGCTGACAGGGGAGCTGGGAGATGTGACAGGAAAGGGACACACTCAGGTGGCATCATTAGGCAGCGGGGAGGCCCCCGCAGCCAATTAGGGCCGATCTTTCATGCCAGGGGAAGGCGATGGGCTGGCAGGCGGCACTTACTCGCAGGAGCCGGGAACTGTCCTCAAGGGCACCGCGGACCCCTGCGAGCTGAGGTCCGTCTCCCGGAGCGCGGGGCTCCGTGCTGACCCGGCCGCCACGGGCCCGGTCGCCGGCGTCTGCGAGACAAAGGCCCCGGAGTACGGTGTCTACAGGCACTCGGAGTTGACAGACTCCAGATGTCACCACCAACAAAGCGAATGTCCGGGGCCCGTAAGGATGCCTCGCGGGCGCGTCACGCACCCACAGCCTCCTCTGACTGCGGCTTCAGGGCTCTCCGAGAAGAACTGTCTGCTGGGGGGACCTCGGTCTCTGATGAATGAGGGCAGAGTTCTGGCAAGTCCTGGGGCCGGCCTCTTCCGGCTAAACCCTGCTCAGCTCTGCAGGACGCTTCGAAAGCTCCTCGGCGCCATGGTCCGCTGACACAGATAGGCAACTGCGGGGCCCGTTCATCTCAGCCATGGAGCCGGACGCCCAGGGCCGGGCAGCGCCGTGTCCCGGTCCTCAGGCTCTGATCGCTAGGCCAGAGGCAACATGGGATAGCGTCCCGGCTCCATCACCTCCCTCGCACCTGCACCTGGAGCCACTGCCTTCTCGGAACCTCAGTCTGCCTACCCCTTAAATGGGCACAGTGAGACACCACAGCAACACCAACACGACAGCTGACACATCCGGTGCATTTCTTACGTGCCGGACGCCGTGCCAGGCACCTTATTAAAGAGTGAGTCCTTTAAGCGACATAACGGCCCCGCTCTTTCCATCCCTCGAGGAATAAATGCCCATAAAAACGATTTGCAAATTGTAAAGCGACAGGTATGATTGCTATTAGGTTTCTTGCCTACAAAGAAAATGCCCTCAACCCCCAGGGGCCATGTGAGACGGGAAAATAATGCAAAGACAGCCACTCACATCCCTTACCAAGTACTCATGGGCCCCCCAGCAGAGCCTCCATAGAAGGGGGTCCCACTAGCCCCGTGTTTAAATGAGGAGGAGGAGGAGGCTCCAAGAGCCCAGGTGCCTGGCGCTGGAGCCCCAGCCGATGAGGGGCAGGGCCCCGATTCCGGTCAGCTCCTTCGATGCCCGCCTGAGCTTGGACAGTGGCATCAGGGCTCCTGTGGGCACAGGGGCAGAGGTGGCCCAGGGACTTGGCACTGGCCAGGGACCAAGGATCACGCTTAAGGAAGGACAAGACAACCAGCCTGGCCAGCAGCTCTTGTGGGTCAGTGGCCCAGCAGGCCCAGCTGTGGTCTCAAAGGTGCCCACAGCCCTGACCCACGAAGCGTGGGACGTGGCAAAGCCCCGGGCGGGAGCCCTGCAGGCAAGGTCCCGGGCCTGGTCCTTGGGGCCACCACACAGGAGGCACTCGGGCCCCTAGACAGCCAGGAGCCCCACTGGGAGCCCTGGTGCAGGGGAGCAAGGGTGCAGGGGTGCGGGGCACGGAGTTGGCGAGACCACAGTTCAGATCCCAGCTCTGCCTCGCACAAGCGGGGTCATCCGGGGAAGGAACTTCATCCCCAATGTGTGCACAGGGAGGGGGGCCCTCACACTGTCTCGGGGTGCATGTGAGGATCAAGTAAACCACTGGATAGCAAGTGCTTAGCATTCTGCCTGAGACCACGCCTGGGGCCCAAGAGATCAGTGGCTACTATTCCTTCTACTCTTTTTTTTTTTTTTAATCCTCACCCGAGGATATTTTCCCATTGATTTTTTTAGAGCAGCGGTTCTCAACCTGTGGGTCGTGACCCCTTTGGGGGTCGAACGACCCTTTCACAGGGGTCGCCTAAGACCATCGGAAAACACATATATAATTACATATTGTTTTTGTGATTAATCACTATGCTTTCATTATGTTCAATTTGTAACAATGAAAATACATCCTGCATATCAGATATTTACATGACGATTCATAACAGTAGCAAAATTACAGTTATGAAGTAGCAACGAAAATAATTTTATGGTTGAGGTCACCACAACATGAGGAACTGTATTAAAGGGTCGCGGCATTAGGAAGGTTGAGAACCACTGTTTTAGAGAGAGTGGAAAGGAGAGGGAGAGAGACACAGAGACAGAAGCATCGATGTAAGAGAGGCCCACAGATTGGTTGCCTCCCACACTCGCCCCAACGGAGGCCAGGGATTGAGCCTGCAACCGAAATACATGCCCTTGAACAGGAATCGAACCCGAGACCCTTCAGTCCACGGGCCGACGCTCTAACTACTGAATCAAACGACCAGGGCATTACTTCTGCTCTCGTTGTCAGATGGCCACAGGTCACTCCTGGGGGAGGTGGGAAGGCTCCCACAGCCATCTAGACACACGCCCCCAGCCCGGCACGCCCTCCCCCCTGCTCTGCATTCAGTCTTCACCGCCATCCTTTGAGTGGTACCGTTCCTGCCCCCACTTTACAGATGAGAAAACTGAGGCACAGACATGAACGGCTTGTCCAAGGTCACTCAGCTCGTGTCAGAGCCAGGACTGAAGGCGGGCGGTGTGGTTCCAGCGCCCAAGCCCTTCACCCCCGCCCCAACCCTGTGAGAAGCCCTCCCCTGCCCATCCCCCCACCGCGGGTGCCAGGCCCGCTCTCCTCTGGCCGCCAGCACGGTGAGCCTCAGCCTCTGCTCCCAGTTCTCATCAGACGCCTCCTGGATCCCCAGGCCCCCTAGCCCCTCCCCAGACCCTCTGCCCACCCCCCCTGCGCTCCCCAGCCTGATGCTGGGCTGCCTCCTGCCCAGTGGCCGGGCTTGGTGGCCTCTCCGGCCACAGGGCCCAGACCTGCCTCCCTCCCGAATCCCAGCACTGCCCTCCTCTGCCCCACACGGGGCCCCAGGAAGAGGCCGGCTCCTCGGGCGCTGGGTGTGCAGCCAGCACCAGCCGGAGCCCAGAAGCGCAGGCTCCATGCCTTATAAGGCCTCGGGGACGGGAACCACATCAAAGCGGGGCCTGGGGGAGCGGGCTGGAGTTCAGCCGGGCTTTTTCCTCTTTGTCTCCGGACTGACTTCGTACTCCTGAGCAGAATCTCCCCCGCTCCCCGCCTGCCCCCAGTGCTTTGTCAACCTTCCTGTGTGCTAAGAGCTAACAGATGTTGGTGCCCAGGGTTTCAAAAAAAACTCCTGGTACCCACAGAACCCGGGCCGGCTCAGAGGTCCCAGGAATGCGCGGGGCTGGGCCCGGCCAGCGGGAAGCGGAGGCTGGAGGCAGGGCCTGGCCACCCTGAAACCCTTCCCTCCGAGCAGTCGGCCCTGGAGCCGCCCCAGGACATTCCTGGCGAGCTCTCCCCTCCCGGCAGAGCAGCCGGCTGCGTCCTGGGGAGCCCGCGCCTGGAGGGCTGGCCTCGCAGAGCTGCCCCCCGCACCCTGGGGGTCCAGCCCGGCTTGTTCTCTGGATCCAGGGTCTGCCTGTCAGGAGGGTGGACCTGGGTGGGTGGTGGGACGGCAGAGCTTCGCAGGAAGGCTTCCGCCCTGGGGCCACAGGCAGCTCGGC